GGTTAAACATTGAATGGGACACTTGCATGGTATTCGAACATATTAATGTTATAAGATGTTTTAAATGCCTGGGTTACAAGCATAAATCGAGCGAATGCACTAATAAAAAAGCATGTAGTAAATGCGCGGGTAACCATGATGTGAAGGATTGCAATTCTGAGATCATACGGTGCGTAAACTGCTGTGAACTGGTACAGAAAAAAGTGATTGACGGAAATGTTAATCATTATGCAATTTTATTAAATATAAAACAAAAATTAATTACTCACGTGATAAAAATATTTGGTTTTTACTTTTAGAAATTGGAAATATTACTCCTAAATATCAAGTAGGTGTAATATATCATTCACCAAACTCTAGTGATGCGGATTTCATTACTTATCTTAGCGAAGTTATGAATAGCAACTACTCAGTTGAGAACACTGTAATTATTGGATAGATCCCCCCTTCGTCAGTGAAATGAAACTTTTTATTTTTGAATTATTAACACAATACTGTTTTACCCGTCCGATTTATAATTTTTTTTATTTCAGACTGATGACAAATTATCTTTTAATGAATATATAAAATTATCGGTTGGTGGATTATGTATTTGAATATTTGCGAAATACACTAGGCCATTTTGCTTAGTTCCCCACAATGTTGGGAAATAAAATTGTTTCTTCAGTACGAAATCTATACAAAAACTGTACTTTTCGACTGTAAATTGTATCGACTTTTTAATTTGCTCATATGCATGCATGCATACATAGATTCCCTTCAAGACCAATGATTTGATGGTATTCACGGGAAAGTTTATGTAGGCACATTTACATAGTTTACACTTTTAACATAAATGTCAAGGCAGATATTTTAAGATACACTTCTTAACAAAAAAAAATTTTTAAGTTATTATGAATGGATAAAAGAGACATCTTCTTTGAATTCAGTACTAAAACTTGACATTTAAAGAGCTTATCAAAACTTTATACATGTTAACTAGATTGGCCATTTATCTTAAAATTATATAATTTTAATTATTTGTTTATAAAAATGCAGTTTACAATTTAACAAAACCCGTATAAATCCAAAGTTTAATCTTTGCGCAACGTTAAAAAAATCAACAAACTTTCGTACAGCTTTTTAATTAGATTTCCTAGTAATACATATTTTGAGTATGCAGTTTTGTAGCCCGATCAATTCAAATAAAGCGCAAGTTTAAAATACTCATTTCCTTCATTAAACAAATCGTCGAACATACGAAGATAATATGGAAGAAAATTACCGACATCGTCAAAAATGTGCCAGACATCAACTGTAAATCACAGCTACTTTAAATTTGCACTTTACTAGACTAAAATTGGCTGAGCTAAAAAACTGCAAAATATTAAGAGATAAAATTGAAATAGAAAGTTCGAAATTTTTACGAAAGTTTGTCGATTTTTTTTTAATGTTGTTCAAAGATTAAACTGTAGCAGTGAATTTTCAGATTTTTAAAACCGTATGGTAATTAAATTTTTTAAATTTAAATAAAGCATGAAGACCCAATGGAATAAACGAGTAGATAAAACATATATATCGGTAAAACTGGCACATACATAAATATATGAAAGAATGTACTCAGGCGACGCCTCTAGCCATTGTGTGTCACAGATTTAAGTTATCGATGGAATTTTTTTTTCTTCCCCCCCAAAGCCAAATCCTGGCTACGCCACTGATGTTTACACAAAAGTATCTCAGAGATCTCTTCAAATATTGAAATTATCGATAAATAATTTTCTATACTTCCCAATTTCGCATACAAATTTAAATTTCAAGAAATAGAAACTGATGAAGTAATAAAAATTGCTGGTTCTTTCAAAAATAGAATTGGAGGAAAAAAACTTTTATCTGAAGGAGTCATAAGAGATGCAGTAACTTATTTAGGATTCTGCTACATGCAGATAGTTAACGAGAGCTTAAAGAAAGGTACTTTTCCAACTTCTTGGAAAACATCCACTGTCGTTCTAATAGAAAAGGTTAAAAATACCATTAAAGCCGATGAGTTGAGACCAATAAACACACTACCAAATGATGTAAAAATACTTGAATGTGTAGTAAAAAACCAATTAGTACAATGCCTCGAATCTAATAACATATTAATACCACAACAGTCTGGATTTCGCAAGAAGCACTCATGTAAAATTGCCCTGAATTTGGTAATAGCTCACTGAAAAGAAGAACTGAGCAAAAACAAATACATTATTGCTGCTTTATTAGATTTGAAACGTGCCTTTTAGACAATAGATCAAGACCCAAGAATGATAGAATACAAGATTGCGCCAATGAGAGAGGATTTCTGAGCGTAATTTTTGCGTGACGTCATCTTGGTGCAATTGCGAGAGAGAAATGCCAAAACGCATATAAAAATATGTAAACAATGCAGAAAAATATGTTAATTTTAATATTACATGGCCCAATTTTGCAGGAATCAATAAATATACAAAGATTGATTAATTAGGAACACGTAGAAATAACTTTGGACATGTAGCCCTTTAGTTAAGTACGATTTTTAGCACATGAAAAAATGGATGTATTAACAGTGTTTGCAATTTCATGTAGACCAAAAGGAAGGTGTGCAGCAAAGTGGATTTTTGGACTCGCCATTGTAAAAAGCCATGCACAGTGCATATTTATATTTGTGGACGGTACCCAACCACCATAAACTCCACAGCTTTTATTTGATAACTTTGTACCATTTCCGAGAGGATGCATGAGTGTGGCTTCTTTGGAAACAAATATTCTATGTAACTAAAACATAATTTATAGCTGAACTTTTAAATGCATAATAATTTGGCCACTGTTTTGTATTAGGTACGTAATAGCGCGGTAAGATGCCGCTTGAATTAGCGCCTGGCGACCTTATCCACTTGTGCATTACCTCATACCAGCACTAAAAATATTATTTTCAATATCTTCAATAGTGAAGTGCTTCATGCACACATAGTTCGATTTGGTGTTTAATGCATCTCCTCGCCAGCAGAACTGCTTCCACTTTTCCGCCAGATTTGCGTCCGTAGGAAACGAAAACAAAACTTATATCGCACGCTTTCCTTTTGTTTTTACTATTACACTTTGCCACGGCACACTTCATTTTGCTTTGTAATGTCTCAATAATTGTTTAAAACCACGCAGAAATATTAACGCACATATATTAAAATTGTTATTTGGTTTTTTCGTATGCTCACAATCAACAATTGCACCAAGATGACGTCACGCACACAGCTGATTCTGTCAAAATCACAAAGAGCGGATTAGCGGTACCGCGATTGGCGCAATCTCTATTTCTCTCAATCGTGATCAAGACGTATTATTGAGAAAGTTGTCCAATATAGGAATAAAAGGTATCGAACTGAATTGGTTTGAAAGTTTTATATAGAATCATGTGCAAAAAACAGCGATTGGATCGTCGGTATCAGAAGAAAGAAAAGTAATGATTGGGCTTCCATAAAATTCAGTGTTAGCACCTATTTTATTTAATATTTATATTAATGATATTTCACACAGCATTAAGTATGGCGATATCAATCTCTTTGCCGATGATACAATTATAATGATAAGTGGGGAAAATGTAAATGATATTGGTTCAAAGCTTCAAAACGATCTGGATGAAATATGTAATTGGCTATGCTTAAATAAACTCAAAGTAAACATCAGCAAAACCAAATTTATGGTTATATCTAGAAGAGGCCTAGATAATAATGATTTAGGCCATTTAAATATAAACCAGTAAACATTAGAAATAAATATTTATATTAAATATTTGGGTATAAAAATCGACCAAAAGTTAAACTTTAATGATCACGTCGATTATACTGTGAGCAAAATAGCAACGAAGTTATACTTCATGCGACGTACGTGTAAATTCTTAAACAGAAAGTATAAAATAATGGTATACAGAGCTATAATAGAACCCCTACTAAATTATTGCCGAACTATATTATTCATAATTAATGAAAGTAAGATTTATAAATTGCAAAAGCAACAGAACCGAGCAATGAGATTTATTCTTAGAAAACGTTATGACACCCCAATCAGAGACATGTTGGCGGCCCTCAATTGGTTAAGTGTTAAGCAACAACACTTCTATTACACTATGAAATTCGTTAAAAGCATTATAGATGGTAACCTGCCAGAATATTTAAAAGGTAGAATAAAGTATGGCAATGATATACATAACAAAAACACCCGTAAAAAAACTACTTTAACTTACCAAGGTTTAAATGTGAGTCTGATAAAAGTAATCTCTATTATAAGGGTCTAAAATGTTATAATGAATTACCTAATAGTATTACCCAATGTTAAAACATAACTAAATTTAAAAGAAAATTATTTGCATACTGTAAGACTGTTTCAATATAACTAATGTGTTCTATCTCTATCCTCGCTAAGATCCTGTTGCCATTTACTTTTGTCCCGTGAAATTTTAAATGTATGTATATAAATGAATTCCCTAACAAATAGTCCTATTAGGCTTAAGTATTGCCTTTTTAATGCTAGGTTAAGCTTATAATTAAATATTGTTGTATGTAAGTGTATTAGCTCCAAAATGGTATTGGCAAGTAAATCGTTCATGACAATATCAGCAATAGTCATTGGCATTCCAAAGGTTTTAGAATAGAATTTATTGTTACACACGAAGTAATTATTGACCTTGAGACAAAAGTCTAGAATATTTTGGAACTTGTGCTTAGGAATCATTGTCATATTTTCTATTTTTTCCCATTTTTTCATAATTATTCTTGAAGCTAAGACTAGCCGTATTCGTTTCGTCATCCGTTAGCTAGTGGCGAATCGATGAAGCAACTGGCATAGATAAACATACGTTGGCAGCACTGAAAAAGATATGCCAAAAGTTACATTTGTTTGGGAGCACTTAATGAGTTGCTTGGCAGAACTGAGTTATTTAACAGTTCATAATGAAAACAAATCGGGGAAAAAATATTTAAAATTTAAAATTTTTTATTAAATTTACATTTAAAACGAAAAATTGACAACGAGCGACTAACTTTGGTAAGAAATTGCTTTTATTTGTAATTGAGATGTACAAATGCAATCTAAAATAACTTTTCAGGTTTCCCAATGGTTTGAAAATGAAGAAGTGCTCATGAGCGGGAGTGCAGGTGTATTTGCGGTCTTAAACACCATCCCTTCCAGCTCCAGCTCAGACTCTTCATCAAGCTCAGAAGAGTCCGAACGAGAAGAAGCAAGTAAATGCTCAAACTTTTGCGAAGTTATAGAAGGATATTCAGAAAAAGAATTTAAATCGCACATGAGACTTCGACGATCAACTGCCGAATATTTGATCGGTAGGCAAGCCAAATGGTTTTAATTTATGGCACATATATTTACCGCAAGCTTTTACAGAGAGATATGTAAGCAGTGTTCTACCAAAAACCCACTCTGGCGGTAGGGAAAGTGTGCCATCAAGGAAGAAAGTGTTGATGTTTATTTGGTACATCAGCAACACCATAACATTTCGACAACTTGGCAACCTATTTGGAGTATCTCAGCCTACTGGTTGGTCTGTTGTAAACAACGTTTCAACATGGATGGTATCACGAACGGTAGACACGAAAAGGAAATTTAAAGAAAAGAGTGGAATACCGGGAGTTATTGGAGCCATTGACTGCACGCATATTCGCATCAAAGCTCCAAAAGAAAATAAGGAATGCTATTTTGATCGGAAGCATAGCTACAGCTTAGTACTTCAAGCAGTAGTGGACGCTGATAAAAGATTTACCGACGTAAATTGTGGTGAGCCTGGATCACTTCACGACAGCAGAGTCCTTCGAAGATCTAACCTGTTTTTTAAAGCGCAGTCGGAGCCACGAAGTTTATTTCCAAACGAATCCTTCATTTTGGGTGATTCTGCATATCCTTCAACAAGCTGGTTAGTACCACCTTATAAGGATTACGGCAACTTGAGCGTATCGCAACGAAATTTTAACAAAGTGCACTCTTCTACCCGCATCGTTGTAGAAAACGCCTTTGGGTTATTAAAAACTCGATTTAGAAGATTGTTACATTTTACAGAACAAACCAATTTATGTTTCGTTGTCAATCTAATTGTTAGTGCCTGTATTCTCCATAATATTTGTATAACATTTGACGATTTAGATATTGAAATTGCCCAAAACGAATACCTTGAAAATAATATGGAAGATGAGCCTCTTACAGGCAATCACCATGTAAATTGTAATCGAAGAGATGTATTGTTTGCTTATTTGCAGGGGCAAAATTTGATTTAAAAACTAATAAATAAGTATAGGTTCGGGCGAAACCGAACTTTATACACGCACGTGTTAAACATCTTTTTTCGCATTTTTTATAAACTTCTTAACTTCGAATTAAAAGCAGGTGTTTTTATTCCCTACTTCAAAAATTTTCAATATATTTCCTTTTTGTACCAAGGACAATAGCTGTACCGTTTGGTAGAAATTGATAAATTGGTTACCGGGATACACATACATATCTAGTCATAAGTTGGTGACGCCACGCCCATTTTCCAAAAATTTTTGATAGTAATATTTGCTGCTAAGAGGTTATTGTAAATAATTGTTATGCGAACAAAGTTGTAATATCCTTGTGCACAAGCACGCTCGGATATAAAAGGAAAAATTCGTGTATTAAATTTCACAAAAAACTAATTTTATTAAGCTACATATATAAAAACTAAATCACATTCAGTGTAACAAAAATAAATAAATAACTGAATTCAATAAAAAAGTTACATAGTGAATATGATAATTATACCCGAGCGCACTTGTGCACAAGGGTATATTAATTTTGTTCACATAACGGTTGTTTGTAACAGCCAAAACGAATCGAGATAGATATAGACAAATGTATACATAAATGATC